TGGACTGTGCGCGCCCGCGCGGTTTGTCCGCGCGCCTGCGCGGACTGTCCGCGCGCTCGGGCGCGCCCTTTGGCCGATTTCTGGAAATTTTCTGGGCAGTTTCTGGGCATCTTCAAAGGCTTCAAACTTGATCTTCGAGGCCTCTTTTTGATTCAAAATCAAAACCCTAATTCTACCCAAAACCTCGAATTACAATAGTTCTAATACCGAATTAAATTACAAATAATTTATCATTGAATGAATATAACCGATCCATGGAACCATATAATTAACGACCAAATCCACCATCCATACATTCATCAACATGAATTAAAATAAACATCCATAAATGCAAGTGCCTACCCATCACATACATACATAATTAAATATCACTTATTTAATATATCAATTCTGATTATCAAATAATCTAAGCATAAATTAATATCGTCTATAGACCGCTCTGATACTAATTGTTGGAAACCGAATCGAATTCGGATGCAGAAGCATGGCGGGGAGGCGGATCGTGTATAACAAAAATTCCAGAAAAACTTTTGAGATACTCTATAGATTATATCAATTTATGCATGAATAAATTAATCACATTAATTTATATATATCATGAACTCAATCAGGAAAAATACCTGGAAGCCAACTCGGATGATAACTTGAGTTCTTTGTCCATAAACAGTCCTTGCTCCAAGCTTTGTGTTTAGAAAACCAAAGTCTTCCGCGTCGATTCCTTGATTCCACGTAGACGTGTGTGTGGGCACACGTGAGACAAAACAGGTTTCAGAAACACTCGAATTTCCACAAACACCAACGCATGCACGATGTGGAATTTTTTTTGGGAGAAAAAATTTTCCTTTCTTTTTTTCTTTGAGAAAATTCAGCCACCAACTCTTAGGGCAGAAAAAATTGCTTTCAAAAATTGTGTTCACAATTTTCTATCATTCTCATATTTAAAGAGTAGAAGTCAAACTTCAAAACAGAATCAAATCTCTATCTCCTATTTGAATTTGGAACAACAAAATCTCCTCTCCTTATCCCTAAAATGGCCGGCCACCCCTAGGGTTTTCTAACCCTGTGTGTGGCGCCATAACTAGATAAGGAAGGAAGATAATTCATCCTTTATCCTGTAGTCCAATTTTAATTCAAATTCAAATTCGAATTTAAGTCAAACTTAAATTAATTTGAAATCTAAATTGAACAACTTATCAAATAAGTTTAAAAGGATAAATTTAAATTATGTTCACAATTCAAATTCAAATTTAAATAATCACATTATTTAAATAATAATTAATTCTCAATTAATTATTTTTCGAGCATTTAATTTCAGAATTCCATAATTCTAAAATTCTCATTTTGTCCTTTGTGTCTGGTAGAATTACAAGGACGACGCGGGGACTTATGGACTTATAATCCTGAGCTCCAATAAAATTAATAATTAATTAAACACTTTAATTAATTAATTCTATTAATTCCAATAGTTACTCCACTATAAACTTGGAATTGAACTCTCGAAATTATAGACATTAATTACTTCTAAACT